AATAGGTACAGATGACTTAGCTCTATTGGATATTGGAGACGTGTACAATCGTATATGCAAAAAAAAAAAAAGAAAAAAGGTTGACAGGTTGCGCGCCACACTTCGATGTAAACAGACTAACATGGCAGAATTGCAGATGAGTTTCAGTAAGTGTGAGTTCTTTTGCTGTTAAAATAGTTTAAATTTGTAAAAATATTTGCAAGAACTTTGTTTCATTGTAATTTCACAATTTATACGAAATTCCCGGATAAAAATTAATAGTTCACCCAGACAGTGAGTCAATTCCCAGACTGTCTGGGTGAAAACCAAATGGGTGGTAACACTAAATAAAATAAAGTTAAAAATCACTTTTATTTTTGAACTAAACTATTTTAATTTTTTAGAATATGTAATAAAAAAGTATATACTAGTAGAATAAATGAATGTACTGTAATTTTCAACACTAAAAAGCATTTGTTAAATGATATTTATAGAAAACTCCGATCAATAGAATTTATATTTTTTTAAACTCAAGTAATATAGTATATATATTTAAAATCAATTTTTTTTTAATGCCATGTTTTTAGCACACTAGTCTAGCATCATTTCAATACCATGTTCAAAAACAGGACATATGACTATTTCTGCTTAAATAAATTAAGAAAAATGGACATGGCTCAATTCAAGCTCTGAATGAAATGTTTGGAACCTTATCAGAGCATATGTATTAGAGCAAAATAGCCAAAGGAACCCCCTACCTCTACAAGCGACTCTCTGTGAGATACAGTCCCTCAAAATTGGATCACACGAGGTCGCAAGTCACGTCACTTTACTAAGACTACCGCGTTTAACTATTTAGCCCAAGTGATTATGCAAGTAGCCCACTAGACTGTTTGTGGAGTATTTGATGTCATATAGTTTTAGGCAAGCGATAGCAGGCAGAAAAGCACACGATTACACATGGAGTGCAATATACAGATACATGTTAAAAACTGACCTTTAAAGGCAAATATCTTGCAAAGGGTCTGACATACAGGTATGGTTCCTTTGACTTTTCTACTCACACAAGGGGTTCTAAATTCTGGGGGGGGGGTCGAAAAACCCCTCATTCAAAGCTTGAATCTTACTATCAAGGGGAAGATGCAGCACTCTATATACATCCCTGAAATTATGCTTCTCTGCAGTGAAGCTTACTCTCTCAAACATGGCGTCAAAACGATGGTAGCGTTTACTGAAAACACAGTACCAACAATAGTTATAAAAAAATATAATTTTTTACCTGCGCATTGTATCCATATAATATAGTATTCTTAAGTTCGAAAATATAAATTATATCGATCGTATTTAAAACAACATTTGGACTAAAACAGGCTGCTTTCCTCAACAACCTTCAAGTACGTTAATCTTTTTGGTTAAATTCCAGTTACGTGGACTGTCATGGCGGCTCCAGCAAACAAAAGGAAACAGTGGGGACGCACGTTCTAATCTAACATAACCTTTTCTAATAATTTAATTGGTAATAATTATGGTAATTTATTAGAATAGGTTAGGTTAGGTTAGAACGTGCGTCCCCACTGTATCCTTTCTTTTTTTTTTAACTGGAATCAGAGATGAGCCGCCATGACAGTCCACGTAACTGGAATTTAGCTTTTAACAAGAAGTTTAGGAGATGCTCTGATTCTTAAGATATAATCTGTAGCGCTACTGAAATACCTTTAATTTCCAATCGCTTAAAAAAATAAATGTATAGATTCGATTAACGAGATACCTTTACCAGTAAAGCAATTATCAGTACACAGGTACGAAGACATTCGTGCAATAACTACCACACGAAATTTCTATAAATACATTTGTTAATGCGAAGTAAATAATCACTTATTAAATAGCAACTTACAGATGGATGTCTTTTAAACGTTTGTAAACTGAAGCCTCCCATATTTTTTACAATGCAATCTTAAAGCCACAGACGTCCGAAATGTACTTCGCAAGCGACCTGCTAGCGCCAAATAACTCTCTATCGGACAAATAAAACCGCCAAAAATACGCCAAACAGAATTTGGCGTATTTTGGCAGTTCTAAACTTTTGGGTTCTGGAAAAAGTGTTAAAACACAGGATATACCAAATTAAACTTGATATTTCGATTACAGCAAAACTATTCATTAGAAAGTCATAAAAGTTTGGGAATGCTTTGATGATGAAAGTTTTTTCTAGAGTAAAAATAATTCCAAAACACCACTACACTAGGAGTTCGGTCGTGGGTTCGCGCCTCTTCAGGACGGGCTTGCTACGTGGATTTTTCTGGGTTTTCTCCACGTCTGTAATACCCGAATAAGGGCCAATTACCCTTAAAGACCTCCCGGAAGACATTATTTCCCGCTCCCCGCGTATGGCTGAGCAATAATGCTTCGGTCGGCTCATCGGATATTAACATCACTACTCTTTGTCCTCTTTGTGCTCTCTGAGCGGTAAGGGGCCTAAAACCACAAAAATATCACTACTTTATCGGAGAAATAAAGCCGCACGGGCTGATCCTACATATGAACCATGCGAATAGGGAATAGGAAACCACCACTATCTTTATACAGAAAATAACAATGAGCTACACAAGTTATTTGTCAAATGTCAACTAAAATTGTTCAGAACATAATAACCATTATTGTTTGCTACCATATGAAATCGTAAAAACATCATGATCAGCAGTTGCATGCAGTATGTGCCTTGGAATTTTACGCAAATGGTGTGCTATGCTGTCTTTGAGGTCTGAGAGATATTTTACGGAATTACGGGTGTCCAAGCGGTTCTGTTCCTTGAACACTGGTAGTTCGGTCGTGCATTTGCGCCTCGTCATGACCGGCTGACAGCGTAGAGTTTTCCGGGTTTTCAACACTTCTTTAACGCCTAAATAGGGGCCAATAACCCTTAAAAGACCCCCGGAAAGCATTTCTCCAGCTCTTCGCGAGTAAGCAAGTAATTTCGTGTAGACAAGCAAAACAGCTTTAGCCGGCTCTTCGAAGAATAAACGATTATACAACTCTATATCAACACCACAGAAAGATAAACGAAATCATTGTAGACCACGTCTTTATATAGCCTAACAGTCAAAAATTTCATAGATTGAAGTCTTTGGGATCTTGCAGGCAAATATGCCACTATACTTTCTTAAGTGCCTTCCAGTAGCCAAATTATTTTAGTTATTATCGTAAACGTAACCGTAAACGTTTGTAAGTTAATCGGAACTTACAAACGTTTACGGTTTGTTTTATAAGCCTGCCTCAGGTTTTATTAAACTACAAACTTCCGAAATCCATACAGTTTATAGTTTCAAACTCGAGGCCACTACGACCTACAATTCCGTGGATGGCCACCCACCGAATGCTGTTAGCGTAATCGTTAAAAGAGGTTTAATTTGCAAAAATTTGAGCTTTTGTTATTTGGGCAACATTTCGAATGAAAATCATTCGTTTGGTTGCAATTTTATCCTAAGAAGCGATAATAAAGTAAGGGATGGGATCCCTCTAAGTTTGACCTATCGACCCCCAAGTTTCGCCAGCATCTCACTGATAACGAGAAAGGCTTAAGTTTAAAATTTGAGCTCACTAGACACAGTAGTGTTTTTTCTGTAGGAGCGTCTGCACCGCCAAATAAATAAGAAAAAGAGAAAATACAGCTTTTTTTGGCCACTTTGCACTTTCAAATTGCTTATATTACGACCGCTCACATCAATAAAACTCTGACAATTTGTTAGTACACGGAGTTTTATTGTTGCGTTGCCACGAAAGTTAATATTAAGAATTTGGCCGAATTCCGCGGACCTTTCCTTGCATATACTCGTACATTTTTTTTAATACTCTTCCGCCATGTGGGCACTAAGAGGGCCTCTTATAGCAGACCCATTATGGGTTCGGCCAAGACCATAATGGTGCGACCGGGTGGTGAGGGACGGGACTCGACATATCCGATCCGAACGGACGGACCACCCCCGAAAAATTCCTGGGGATTCCTTGACCCGACAGGATTCGATCCCGAGTCCCCCAGAGCGGTCGGCTGCCACCTTCACCACTCGGCTATCCGGCCTTTTTTTTTTTTCACTCGGCCATCTGGCCGTCATACTCGTACATGTTAATGTACAAATATGACGGCCGGATGGTAGTTATGATGTAGTTACATGTTAATGTACATTAACATAGTACAGTACATGTTAATGTACGAGTATCGTAATGTTAATGTAGGCAAAAACCTGATGTTCTCGTGTTTTGTGATTAGAATCTCGATGCTGATTATTATAGGATTGCGAAATATTTAGCAACATATATATCATAAATTTCACGCTCCATCTTACCCAGTTTGGAGTACAATAAAAAAAAAAAAGCTGTTCTCGGTGCCAGATAGGTATTAATCCATCAATCGGCACGAATTTTAGACCCGGAAAAAGGAGGATGGACAAGATAGACGATGACAAAAGAAAGACTGACGACGTAACGGTGGTGTTTGCAGAGGAGTGACGAAAGATAAAAAGACATCGAAGTCTTTGGTCCACGACCTAACCTAACCCAGGATCCACTGTATTAAGGGCAAAAAAGCGCGAATTTCATTGTTTGGTCGATTTCGTCAGTTTCATTACAACACATCCTTACAAACACCCCTCGCCGTAACATTCACAATTGAACCATTAGCTGATTTGTTCGTGGCATCCAATCATTTACATATCATGCTTCGTTACCGTAAACAACACCGTCACATAACACCAACACCGCTTCCCGAAATCCAACCCCTTGGTCCTCGTCCTAGGTAGTGGAAACGTCACTCGATGGTTTCGAGTGGCGGCTAAACGGGTCCTGGTACACTGGACATACACTAAAGTTGTCTTAACGAAAGCTAAAGTTACTTTAATATCCTACGATTATATAATGTTAACAATTACTACTGTTTAAAAATATATTTTTCTTAAGCTTCTTGAAATAAACTTCTAAATTTAAAATTGGAAGGAAAGTAACATCGAAACTTAAAATATTCTGGAATAAAAGTATTATATTTATTTCATAATTTATTTACATTATATACATACTTTTCCATATCGGACGAATTTTCCGAATACTCGAGAACAACAACAACACAATACTTTACAGACCACACGTAGCAAAGTTTATTGCACAATTTATATTTCATGAACATAAAATTAAATATGGGGTATATATTAAAATATAAAAACAAAAAGAAAACATAATTTCAAAATTAAAATTGCACGTTGTTCCAGTAAATCAGGCTTATATTGTAATTCAATAAAGCTGATATTATTTATTTTAAATAGAGTCTAGAATACAGAAAAATCAGTTGCAATCGAGAGGCATTGGAAGCGTTTTCTCTTAAAAAAAATGAATGTATAAATATATATATGAAAAAATTAACGTCTTGGCTACTTTGATTTGGCTATATCCAAAAACCCTACAGAATTTGTTTTCTAAAAAATAAATAGATGACTAGACATGCCATAAGTTCTAACACTTCGTGTTTTCTCAAGTGTGACGGATAACCTATATGGAAATTGCACCAACCTGAATATAACTACAGTCATTGTTAAGTACTATACATAATACAGTTAAAAATATTGTTCAAAATTTAAATATTAATAACTTATACATTTTTTTTTTAATAATGTATATACATTATGTATTTTTAGAGGGAATTTTAATATTCAGTATCGTAAGATATATCAAATTAAACTACTCTATTCAGTAGTTTCTTTTTTTTTTCTACAGTTTTTCACGATTACAATTTGATAGCAAAATAAATATATAAATAAATTTCACGAAATTGCCAAGATATCGATTGCTAATTTCTCTTGTATATTATACACAAATTATTCACGCAGAATTTGAGAAATTTGGTTTGCATTCTTTAACTTTTTCGGTTCGAACAATATTTGTTTCCAAATATGTTCGACCTTCGACCCTATTTTACGTCACGCGGACGATACTTTTTGATCAAAAACAAAATTAAATATTAACATGTCATCCTTATTAATCGTAGCGCTCGTTTCTATGAATATAGAAGAGCACACTTTTACAACGAACCACATTACTGGCTGTTTCACACTTTTGTCACGGTAATTACCGATCAAAATTTCGAAATTACCATGTAAAAACTCGCTAGAAAATTTTTAAATATTAATTAAAGGGATTTCTCCAACTATATTTCAACTAGCTTTTGGAGAACGACTTAAAAAGGAAAAGAGAAAGATAAGAAGAAAAAGAAAATTTTCAAAAAAGGATAAAAATGTTATTTTGATGAAACTGACTAGATACAAATTGTCGTACGGAGAATTAGCACACCGGATATCGTGGTAATTTCTATAAATATGGAATAAAAATATTTATGCAAAAAAGAAACCATTTTAAATATGATACGTGACGTATAAAGTCGGTATAGTAACAATCGAGACAGGTTTCTCACGTAAACGTTTTCACTCTAAAAAAACCATAACGTTAATTTCAGACCATGCGGCAGATATTCAATTATTTACATCACACGAAACTGAGACACATTTTCTGTACAAGAATTAGAAACGTCACAAGAGATCAGACTGTCGTCACCAAAAACGGTGTTGGTTCCGCTTGAATGTCCGACGTCTCCGCAAATGCTTCGGTGCGATTGGTCGATTGGTTGTCTACGCATTCTTCTTCACTCTCTCCCACTTCGGATGATGGCGCTTTGTCGTCTTCTTCATCTTCTTCGTCACGCAACGTCACATTTGGGATATTGGATGTCAAAACCGTCCCGTCTACATGGTCCTCGGATTTCAAAACGTTACTATTCTGATGATCCTCGTTTTCGGTCTTATCTGAGGTGACGAGTCCCGTTGCGCAAACTTTGACTTTTGTGAGAGAGATCTCGTTTTCATCAGACGTCTCTACGGAATCGGTAGACACGTGTTTTCTTCCCGTGGATTGCGTGCGCAATCTGGCATTGTCGGGTTTTGACGTCTTGATGGACGAATTTAACAGTGATCGTCTTTGAGACGCTCTGCTCTTCTTCCACGTATTGATAGGAGGTGTACGTATATCATGACTATGATGGCAGTGAACAATTCCTTTGATGGGAGTCGTTCTAGTCGGACGTCTTTTGTCGGAAGGAACAATAGGTGGAGAAACTTCGGGTTTCTTGGTAGCTTCTTTGTCGCTTCCACTTTGACTGCTCTCCTGAGACAGTTTGTCATAAGTGGAACTGCGACTCAGACCATCTCCAGACGATGACGTGGCTACCACGAAAGACGATCTTGTCCTGTAAAAATAAAGTACGAATAAGCATACATTCGATGATGTCAAATATCTACTCTAATAACAATAATATAAATTCTATTAATAAATTAATGTTTTCCAAAAATCAAACACTACAGAAATAAAGACGTTAAAATTACTTTTTAAAAGTACTATTTATGTTTGTTTGCGCATAACACCTAGCCCATATTTTAATTCTTAAACGTAGATGACAATAATGTACATTTAACTTTTCTATGAAAATTTCTATATTCGATACTTATTTATATTAACCAGACTATTTTTATACCGATCTTGATATTCATAACTGATTTATAGGTGTTTGCGCGTGTGTAACTCTTTTCTTCAGTGAAAGGAATAAGAACGTCTTTATTTCTACAACTGTTACAAATAAATGAATACCTGATGCTCAAACTTCTGTTGGTGAATGCTTTGTTTGATTCTCCATCACTCGATTTCATTTTGGACATGAAAACTCCCTTACTCCTTTCTCCATCACTAGTACATCCGTCAGACGCACTCTTCTTCCATAAGAAGGCGATTTTGCTCGGAACATCCTTTCTGATGATTGGACCCTTCTTTATGGATGCTCCAGAGGACAGAGACGATAAGCTGCTTGCATTGCTCGCGGTGCTTTGGCTACTTCCCAGAGCAGAAAAGCTACGAGTTGATAAATTTGTGGCGCTAGGACTTCTTTTACTATTAAATTTCTTCTCGTTCACTTGTCTTCCTAGATTCTGAGCACTTGGAGAAGATTTCAAATTATTCAGTTTTCTAAAACTGTTATTGTTGTTTCTTCTAACGGAATTAAATTTAGAACGAGAGGTGCTATTAGTGAGACTCTTGGTACTACTTTTACCGTTGTTAATGTTGTTTGATTTATCGCATTCGATCGACGGATGCTCGTTGATGGTATCTTTTAAAGACGGAAGAATATTCGGGTGTGATCTGATGTATATATTGCCGTTTTGTGCTTTTTTAGGACTGGTCGGTGATATGTGTGGAACGTTTTGACTAGGTTTATCTTTGGTAAACGTTCCCTGTTTAACTAATAATTTCGGTTTTCCATCGTCCGAATCTGTACTACTATGTTCTCCGTTAACTTCTATCGTTGTAATATTTTTTAAATCAGTATTCTGAGGGATGTTCTCTTTATCTAAACTGTTTTGTGATCGCTCGATTTTTCTTAAAGGTCTGCTAAGACTCAAATAAGAACTCATTGGTGATTTACTCGAAATTCTAGAGTTTCTAGCCGCAGATCTCTGGTTCTGAGATGCTCTGAGAGCTGATGTTCTCGTAGGTTTAACGCTTGGCGGCGACGATGTGTTAATCGTACTCTGTTTTGATTTACTAGTATGCAAACCACTTCTAATGTCCGATCGTACGGACGCTCTTCCTCTGATACCTTTTGATTTTTCCGAAATCTTTTTCTCCTGCATCTGTCGAATAGTCTCTCTATTAATTGGTTTTACTATTCTTGCACCTTTTCGTTCAGTTTTGGGATTATCTTCTGATTCAATCGAAACTAATGACATAATTTCATCTTCTATCATATCGTTTGTAGTAGTTTTATTTTTAATTTCGTGAATTGTAGACACAACAAGTTTAGCATTTTCCTGTAAAGCTAACGCTTCTTCGGCAGTTATGTCTTCTTTCTTTGGAAATATTTTGGCTTTTGCCACTTTCTTCCTTTTATATCTATTCGTAACTACCAATTCTTCACGAATTGTACTGACTAGATTTTCCGTGCTTCCTTCGATCTGTTCCTTCCCAATTTTAGACAAATGAAATGCCTGAACAGTTTCACAAGAAGGAACAGAGGCATCGTCATCGTGGGGTAATTCTTCTTCTAGCTCTGTATCCGAAGCTAAAGTATCCGAAGCAACTTCTGTACCATCTTCGGCTGTGACCTCTGTAATCTCCTGAAATGCGGAAGGAGGTTTTACTTGATCTATAATATCTGAATTGTAACTACTCTTCATACTACCGGTCATAATATTCGATAATTCTCTTGAATAAACTTGCACCATAGCAGCAGCAGCATTAAGACGTTCAAACATTTCAGAGTTGTTACTTTTACCATTTGGTGCATCAGTTACGGAATGAGATTTGCTCTCTAAAATATCTGAGCTAATACTATTTAAACTGGCGCAACTTCCAGTCATAGATAATTCATCCATTACTGATGGTGGATTCACGTTATCTAAGACATTATCCGAAGTTTCGCTGCTTTTCAAACTTAAATTTTCGACAGAATCCATGCCCGATGGTGGCTGCACTGCCTCTAAAATTTCTGATCCAGAACTTATCTTCATAACGTCGATATGGAGATTATGTCGGACGGTATCGTGCAAGTAAGCACGATTTCTCATACTTTTTCTAGACTTTTTGAGACTGGGCCTTCTTTCTCCTGATATTTTCCCATTGTTTGTCGAAGATAATACGTCTGATAAACCGCTACTTGTCATACTTAAAGAAAGACCATCTCCCATAACTGAAGGAGGAAGAACATTATCAATATCTGATATGCAACTAACACTGCTTTGTGTTAATTCATCCACTATGTTTTCTCCTTCGGCTTCAACTTTTTCGGCAATTTTCTTGGCCTCTCTTCTTATTTTTGATGCATCACTTATATCTTTATGACTATTGTTTGAACTGATACCTTCAGGAGAACTATTAGAAGAAGTACTACTATGTTTGGTAGTAAGATTAGAGTAATTTGTTCTATTACCATTCATAGGTTTTACTAAATTAGGTTGTAATTTTTGTGATTCACCACTTTCACTATTATAGTTTTTACAGGTACCAGGTATTAACTTTTCTTGTAACTGTTCATCTTTCTTCCATTTCTCCTCATAATCATTTATTCCAGATACTCTTTGTTTCCTCACATCTACAGTTAATTTTTTATCCATGTCTTTATTTTGGGAAATTCCATTAATTTTATGACTTAATTCTTTTTCTAAATTTTTTGAAGCTTCAGAAGATGCAATTTTTTGAAATGCTAGATCTCCATTGGATGTAACTGGTTCTTTTATAAAGTTATCAAAACTTTTAGGGAAAGAATTAAAAGATGCTTCTAAATTATTAATAACTTTTTGCGAAGAATCCATATGAGCAGTTGTGATTATACCATTAGATTTGGAAGATCTCAAAGGTTTTATATCATTTGGAGTATATGAAAAATTATATGACAAATGTAAACCATTCTTCTGAGAAGACAGAGGCAGTGGTGGTGGAGGTGGTGGTGGTGGTGGAGGAGGAAGAGGAGGTGGAATTGTAGTTTCACTTTGCACTAGAAAAGAATATATGAATAAAATTTTTAACACTCATATTTATTATCAATACTATGTTTGTAAAGTAAAAAATAATGCTAATTTAATCTCTTCAAAATAATGTTTTAAATATAAATTATATATTTATATTATTGCCATTATCTAATTAATTCTTTATTATTCATTTTCAAAGGAGAAAATATATTAATATTCATTTTCTAAAAAAATCGGATTTTTCTTGCAATAGGAATAGTCAGTTGGGACTCGTCAGATTGTTGGAGGTCCTGTTCTCTAAATTAAAATTCGTTTTGAAAGGTTGACAATTTCAGTCAATTTTGGAAATTCAAGAGGCTGTATGGAGGAAACTAAACAGCATTCCAAAAAGATCTTTTCATGGGGCATACATAAATTACTAGGGCTTACAAAAACATATAGATCACAGAGGAGTGTATTTTGAAGATATACTAAACTAAACCATTTCTGAATTTTTTCTAAATTCAGTTCCCAAACTTAATAGATGCACCTTGTAAATTTAAATGCTTGTCCAAAATAAGGTTNAATAACAACCCCCTTATACTTTTCCAACAAAAATTTAATAAAGCTGTGAAATGCCATTGAATTTTAAAATAGAACATAAGGACTTTATGTATATGTTATCCCTGCTGGCCTGTAAATTATACTGAAAACATTTGTCTGTGTATTAAACTTCTGCCGGAAAAGTGTAAGGTTGTTATTTGTTAATTTTAAATAATAAAATATTTACACTTCTCTGAAAACTGCACTAAAGGTTTTAAAGGTTTGAATAGTACTACTATTCAAACCTTTAAAATGCAGTACACTTTTAATTTTCAAACATTTCTCAGTTGTCTTAAACAAGGATAGAAATAAATTCTTCAGGATAGAAATAAATTTCAATTTAAAAAACAGAATGATAACTGAAATGTTCTCTGAAACAAGTTGCTTTTGAATATTAACATTTTAGAACAATGAAAATTTACATTCACTTGTCAGATTTCTATGTAGATTAAAATATAAATATATAAAAATGCTGTCTACCTAGATTTATGTAAAATTTTACCTGTCAGAAAAAACTATTCAGAATATAATCATCTACGTAATAAATTCCATAAGATATTCAAAATGTCAAGCTGTTTAAGATTGCCTTCTTGATTTGAGACACTAAATTATATAGAACATTGTTCATTAATTAAATATTTAATTGTAAATATTACCTTCAACATCTTGACATGATAACCTTCTACTGGCAATTGGTAGTGATGAATGAGGTTCCACAGAATGCATTGAATAGGAATTATGACTGATGCCATCATAAAACATACCACCACTTGATTGAAATTTGGCATTATTTATTGAACCAATGTCAGTGTCATATTTTTTGGAATGAAATATATTATTATATTCAATTTTTCTTCTATTAAATTCTTCTTTATTAAGTTCCTGCAATAGTAAAATGCAATTAGTTCTAGTGTAACATTAAGATGTATAATTACACAATATAAATAAATAACAAACTACTTTATAATATAAAGTAAACCTTAATAAACAGCTTCTTATTTATTCATAAGTTAATTATTACATTAGGAATTATAAAATTATAAGACAGTTATTAAACGAAATTCTTTATTTTATGTTAGTGATTACTACTTATATAAAATTTATTTATGTTATTTACTCTTAATTTATTTTTCTACATTTTGGTTTTCCATTTTTGTTATTACATTTAGAAACTTGATAATTTTGTATACAGTATTTATATATTAACAATATTAAAAACAGTTTTAAAACTATTTATAAAGAGTTTAAAATTATGAAATCAATTATCATCAATTCATATTTAAATATTTAAATTATTTTATTAATTTTATGATTAAAGAATAATGTACCCTATGAACCGACGACTGGTGACTTTCAAACTCCTCTGAGTTCTTCAGGTGTTAACAGGAATTCTGAAGAACACATGGAAGTTTCAAAACATTAGTGGTAAACTTTCTCTTTTGTTTTTTTCGTTACACACCGGTCATCCATTCATAGGGTACATTGTTTACTACACTCTGGTGTTGTGTGTTGTTGTTTATAATTAAAGAAGTCATTACAAAGCATAAAGTTGAAAATGTATACCTAATTAACATTTTAGTTGTATATAATTGCTCTCTATATATTTTTGAAATCAAAAATGATTAAAAAATATTTAATTTTTTTATATATGATCCCAAGTTTATGTTTTTGATGTTAAAAGATCATCTGCTGCATCAAAATAATACATGAATAAATTATAATATAGATTTATCAACCATAGTAACAAATAGATTTAAATTCTTTATGTTTGGTACTATTTCTTCTTCTAATGGGTGAAATAATCAAACCACCTTACTATTTCCAGCAACNTATGTTATGTTCAAATGACTACAGAACCTGAAGATGGAAATATAAGAACTCTGAAAATGTTAATATCACACACTACTGCTGGAGTTTGGGTATTTTAAGTAAGTCTACTTCTAACAACTTTTGAAGAAAGATAAGGTGCAATGAAATACAGCAATGCAGTAGTTAGTCTAGAAAATTCTTAAAAGCAAGAAAATATGCTTTAATAGGTAGAAAGTTAAAAATACCATTTTACATTTTAAATATGCATTTATAACTCCTAAATTTTGGGTCATAGAACCTCCAGATTTCCATTTTTTCTTATTTTAAAGAATAGCAATCTAAACTCAAATATGCATTTGCATAAAAACATGAGTCCTAGTTATAATATAATCTTTTCAGTTTGACATTAAAAACATCAATGATTTCACTGATGCTTTTAATGTCAAAACCAAATGATTGCTGGATTAGATCAGGCTATATTATTGCTACTATTAATAATTAAGTATTATGTAATTAGGCCTAGAGGTAGGCATTAGGTACTATTTCTTATTAAATTTAATAATTATAATTAAATTTTTGTAATTAAAATTAATTACAATTTTAAATTTATTTTAATAAATTTAAAACATATCTGATAATTTATAATATAGAGCATGTTTCTTTGGAAAGCAGCTAAGTAAGCAATCTATAGTTTGTTTCATATGAAACAAACTATAGGTTGCTTTACTTAGCTGCTTGCTAAGGAACCGTGCCTATAGTCTTTGTTTTGGACATATTTTAAACAAATAAATTATTAATTACAGAACATACAGTGCCAGATTTAACTCTTTTGCCATTGTAGGCACAAACCAGATTCCCATCTTTTCTGACATAAATTTAAATGCTTCTGACACTAACTTGGACTTTAATTACAGAATATTATATGAAAGTGCATAAAATTTAGTACATTTAAAAAAAAAGAAAATTATAGCTTTGATATAATTTTTAATTAAAACAAAATGTATCTATATGATGTAATTAATTATTTAAATCATTATCTTTATTTATGTATACAATTTAATAGTTAATTACAAATATTTGGAATTATTTAACTACTTTTCTTGTAAAATTTTTATATTATGCCTCCCAATTTTGCCACCTATCAAAATCTGTCACTCTTGGCCTGAGCCTACTAACTCTATTTTGAAATCTGGTCCTGAGTGTATGTTATACAGTTATTTAAATGAAATGAAAATATAATTAAGTTGATATATTACCATTTTTCTTTGACTAGAAACTAAAGATTCTGAAGACTGAGCACGATATGAAGAATAATTAATCCTTTCATTTATTGTAGGAGGAGTTAGTTTAAAGTCTAATATTTCAGAATCACTATAAACCTTATGTTTGAATTTTTTATTTCTTGCTGACATTTTTCTGAATAAAGGTTCATTACTGGAAAGTTTATCATCACTAGTGTTGTAGTTGGCCATATCAGTAGATGAATTTGGTCGGTAACATTTTGGAGCAGATGGAATAGGACAAATAATACCATCCAAATCTGGTCGAGGAGCTACATCAGTAAACTGAGAAATGGGCTGTTTTAAGGTGTTGGGTGTAGATGGTCTTGCAAAACCAGGAGATTCTGGAAGATCACTAGGTGACAAGACAAGGCTATTTCTGTGACTGAAATAGAAAGATATAATATATTAACTACTAATGCAATCAATAAGTCATTATGGATAAATATATTTACAAAAAGAAAAATTATTATTAATGTTTTCATAATTTAATTTGAATAAGAAATAACAAAATCTGGAACTAGCTCTATCCAAAAATAACAACCTTCTTATACTTTTCCAACAAAAATTTAATAAAGCTGTGAAATGCCATTGAATTTTAAAATAGAACATAAGGACTTTATGTATATGTTATCCCTGCTGGCCTGTAAATTATACTGAAAACATTTGTCTGTGTATTAAACTTCTGCCGGAAAAGTGTAAGGTTGTTATTTGTTAATTTTAAATAATAAAATATTTACACTTCTCTGAAAACTGCACTAAAGGTTTTAAAGGTTTGAATAGTACTACTATTCAAACCTTTAAAATGCAGTACACTTTTAATTTTCAAACATTTCTCAGTTGTCTTAAACAAGGATAGAAATAAATTCTTCAGGATAGAAATAAATTTCAATTTAAAAAACAGAATGATAACTGAAATGTTCTCTGAAACAAGTTGCTTTTGAATATTAACATTTTAGAACAATGAAAATTTACATTCACTTGTCAGATTTCTATGTAGATTAAAATATAAATATATAAAAATAAAAACAAAAAAGCCTGATAATAAAATAACACTAAAACAAATAAAAAGTAAAACACAGTTTGTAAACTTAACTGTATCATTAACAAAATATATTGTATATAAGAAATAAACTAACTCTTTAAACTAAGTTCTTAGTTTAAAGAGTTAGTTTATTTCTCCAACATACCTCCCAGTGCTAATACCTGCCCACTCACACGATCCCTATGCATTTAAAATAGCAGGTTTTAGATCTCTAATAAAAAGAGCATACACCCACTCATCAGAACAAAAAAGCAGGAAAGAGGAGCTAAAATATATATGACAGTCAGCAGTAAAGTACAGATTCGATAAGAGGAGCATTGAAGGCTGATTAAACAATACCAAAATAACACCAATAAGAAACCTGCAGCACCAAAACAGTACAGAAGCATAATGAACAACAAGCAGCTATCATATTACTATAGGGAGATTGTAAAAACCAATTAGCATACAAAAGAAGCCCAACAATATATAGGCTCTCTGCAACAACAAAAATGCTATCAACAAGTCCAACCTTCTCAGGGCATATACAATGCTAATAATGGATAACAGAACAGAAAAGCATTTGCAATATATAGGGGTCACTATAAGACCTTTACATCAATGCCTCCAAGAACACAAAAGACAAAACAACACTGCTTTATCCACTATAGTCTTGGAGGAAGACATGTATATACATGTAGATCAAACCAAACTTTTAAACAGCACAGGTAAAAAAACACAAATATAGCATCTGGAAAAAAATCAAAATTTACAAAGCAGCAAGGGAAGAAATAATCATCAACTATAAAGACAGCAACTCATTGGCCCAGCCATGGAGAGCCTTATATGAGATATAAAAAACATCACATTGCAAACATGTCATTAGTACTAACCAAACAATAATAACATATAAGTAATACAACTCTAAAACCTTTATGATACAGCCAAATTTATTATCCCAATTCAAACGTTTTCGGACATCTTTAATGCCCTTTTTCAAGAACGAACTAAGTACATTCTAACTGCAATCGAATACTGGCTAATTTGTATAAACGATAACTGCGTTTTGGAACGCGTATTTAAAAAATTCTTATTGTGTATTTAAAAATTTTTTAAGAATTTTTAAATACGCAATAAGAATTTTTTAAATACGCGTTCCAAAACGCAGTTATCGTTTATACAAATTAGCCAGTATTCGATTGCAGTTAGAATGTACTTAGTTCGTTCTTGAAAAAGGGCATTAAAGATGTCCGAAAACGTTTGAATTGGGATAATAAATTTGGCTATATCGTAAAGGTTTTAGAGTTGTATTATTTATTGATATATACAGTCTACGAAGAAATAACATATAAGTGCTAAATTTTAAGTAGCATGTGATGTTTGTCTTTTTTTAAAAAATGTTGGATACAAACATCATCATATGATTCACAAAAAAATATGTTATGTTCAAATGACTACAGAACCTGAAGATGGAAATATAAGAACTCTGAAAATGTTAATATCACACACTACTGCTGGAGTTTGGGTATTTTAAGTAAGTCTACTTCTAACAACTTTTGAAGAAAGATAAGGTGCAATGAAATACAGCAATGCAGTAGTTAGTCTAGAAAATTCTTAAAAGCAAGAAAATATGCTTTAATAGGTAGAAAGTTAAAAATACCATTTTACATTTTAAATATGCATTTATAACTCCTAAATTTTGGGTCATAGAACCTCCAGATTTCCATTTTTTCTTATTTTAAAGAATAGCAATCTAAACTCAAATATGCATTTGCATAAAAACATGAGTCCTAGTTATAATATAATCTTTTCAGTTTGACATTAAAAACATCAATGATTTCACTGATGCTTTTAATGTCAAAACCAAATGATTGCTGGATTAGATCAGGCTATATTATTGCTACTATTAATAATTAATTTCAAAGCAATTTGGCCTAAAGGTAAGCATTTTGCACCATTTCTTATTAAATTTAATAATTAAAATTAATTTAATGTTTATTAATTAATTTAGATGGTTCTGGAAGAAAAGACCTGGAACAGAACTCGAACCCATACCTGCAATTTAGTGTGGATGTATTGCCAGTTACATTACCCAAACCTCTGTCTGATCGTCACTTCCAGAATTATTTATTTAGATACAAGCATTGTACCTAAATTAAATATCTGTTTTATTATTATTGGGCTTATAGGTGTTTTTATATTTGTATATTTTTGTCTTCTAGCATTATCAGATTTCTTCACATTTAATTTCTAGACAGTTATAAAATTACATCTCTTTTGCCTTTTTGACACTCCTTTAAATCTCTTGGTCTAGTTCTTTATATTTGTTTTTATCCCTATCTTTAGATTATTATCTCTCATTCATTTAAACCAGAATTTCAACTGTCATCCAAGTTTTTTTTATTCATTTTCAAAATATGATAGATTTTTAAATATAATTATTTATAACAGAAACATTACACAAAAATTTTTATTGAAAATAATTAATTGGCATTTTAAAATCAATTTTATAAAACATAAATTTACTTTTTTAAAACATTTACCTTTAATTACAGTTGTAAAATATAAAATGTCACAAGCACTTAGTTGTATGTTTTTTCTTATTTGAAAATTGCAACAAAAATATATATGTTTTTCAAAATTACCTAATATCACTAATAATTGAACTACGGTCATCATGAATGGAATGTTGTTCAAAACTACTGAGTGAAGACTGAGAACTGCAAGGTGAAAACATGAGAGGAGTATCATCCATGCAACTAAGTTCACTACTTCTATATGTAACACCTGAAATAAATAATTAAAAACATATTTATATTATTAACATAATAATTTTCAAAAATTAATAAATAAACTTTCTAAAATTCTGCAATATAATTGTATGAACTATAAAAAATAATGAAATATTTTTGTTAATGAGAAATTACTTGTCATGACATCTTCACAATGCTGTGTTGCAATTTTTAATCATTTTTAATTTTAAAAATATCATGTGACTTCCAGTCTAGACTAGAAGTTTGTATATAGATAACAAGCAATTATTTATTGTAAAATTGTCACAATGCCAAGCTATAATTTTTAATCATATTTTTAATTTATTTAATTTAAAATATATGCTTTCCAACTCAAATTAGTACTGTAGTGTTTTTCCCCTGTACATCATACCTTTCCTTTAACAGTAGAGTCATGCATGTCATCTATTAACTATTTTCAGGGGAAAACTTTTGAATTGAAATAACATGTCCTCTGGGTTTTCACTGTAAGTTCATATATAGTTAATCAGGGCCTCATACCCCTAAGGTTTCCATATCTGGTCTCAAATTTATCTAACTAACGCCATTCTTGAGATTAAAACTCAAAACCACAAAAAGGAGCACATTTTGAATTTTAATATTGCACTTGTCCCTGTCATTCAGAATCATATAAGCTGTTTTAGTTCTGCTAATTCTCATGCTCTTTTCTTCCAAAACTTTCCTCCACTCTTCCAGTTTCTTCTCAGCCTTGGTTTGGGAAGGTTCACATAGCACAGCAAACAGCATACTCCATGGAGCACCACACTTTACGTCACAAACCAACACGTCCATTATCAGGTCAAGCAGATAAGGGCTAAGGGGCAATCCCTGATGTAAACCAACATTAATGGAGAACACTTCTTTAGTGCCCACAGTACTCTTAACTTTAGCCTCCACTCTCTCCACTCATGCATGTAACCAGCTGATTCACTTTCTTCTCAACATAGGTGTTAATTAGCATAAGGTCAAAAGCCTCAGCATTATCAACAAGTCTTTCTCCCACACTCCACCACCCAAGAACACTTCTTTCTGCATTCTTCCTCTTCTCAACATGACCATTTAAATCGCCCCCACAGATTAACCTCTCATTCACAGGAACACACATTATAACTTGGGCAAGATCTGCTCAAAAGTTTGTCTTCTCTTCTTCTTCACTTCCTGGCTGAGAAGCATACACACACACAATCATAATGAAAATTCCACCAATGTCCAACTTAATGCTCATAATTTATCACACCTTCGTTTAACCTCACAGACTCTGTTTTTTAGAACTTTATCAACTATGATACCAACTCCATTCCTTCCACTCAGTTTATATCCTTTCCCAAGTTTTTTAGCTTTATTTCCTCTCCATCTTGTCTCTTGCAGGCATGGAATGTTCAATCTCCTTCTTTGCATAAGATCAACCAACTCTACCTCCCAATCAATGTTCCGATGTTTAAGTACCTATTTTTATACTTTTATTCTTCTTCCTCCTATCTTTCTGGACTAACTTCTTTAGCCGAACCTGTCCTTGGTTAGGTAGCCCAAGCTCATTTGACAGTTTTCAGGCAACATGACTGCACGTCACTTGCGGGGGACACCCTAACAAAGCTGTAGCTTACTTGTAGCATAGCAGACATACCATGTAGTTTTGGCATAGGTTTTATGGCCAGATGTCCTTCTTGACGTCAACCCACCTCCTTTATCCAAGCTTGGGACTGGAAGCGGTATCACGGAGCTACACTAGAAACTAATGAATGATATTTGTCCATTGTCCCATTAACTTTGTTGTTGACAAAAACTTGGCCTTGAAAACAAGGAATGTTTCTTGTTTTTAAGGCCAAGTTAGCCCCGACTGCAACCAGTGTCAGTTTGTGGGAATGCTGATCTGATGTTGAATCACAGTTTGAAGCTTCTTGCAAAATGACTGATGCCATTTTTTAAAGCTTGTATCTCCTCTTTTTTATAGTCTATGGGCATCTCTGGACCTGTACTTTATTAATAAAAGATAAAAGGATCTCTAGATCATTTTAGCTGGGGCTGTGCTGAAAGCTACCAGCGGCATCCACAGCTTGCATATAGTGGAGACACCATAAGATATTATCATTAGCCGTGAAATAAGCAGATAATTCTGACAAATAAGCAGTCACAGACAATCAGCGGCAACAACAACAACAACAGGGTGTAGTGGATAACCCGTGCAGGATAACTAGCCTTCACTGATGATGGAAAACCAACATCACTAGTGAAGGCTAGGTGCTGTTCAGTGCACTGTTGGAAAATTTTAACTGTAAATATATGTATTTTAAAAAAGGATGTGTATTAATGTCACACTATCAGAACCTGTGACTGGTGCTCTATGCGTATACGTTAAATATCGCTTGACAAATGTTTTCAAGCATTCTATTCGCTCTTCTTCAGGTCAACTGAAAGAATTCCCCGGACGGAGTGTATATTATTCTTCACTAGGATCGGGTGTCAGTTCTGAGGGGGTGGGTCGCTTCCGGTGTGCGCGGCCGTGCGGCGGGGGAGGAAGCGGCGGGTTGGCATCCAATAGTGATTGCCAGGCCAGAGACAAGGTTAGTTCCTCTTTCCGGTTAATGCAGGTGGTTAGCCGGTCGGTGTTGTGGATAGCCGCGGCTTCCAGCCATCTGAGTTGCTGCTGGTGGAGCGTGTTGACAATAATGGTAGCCTTCTCGAAGTGTACTTCGATTTTGTGGTCCGATGCATATGTGGCTAGGGCTGTGGTCAGCCTCCTGTGCCTGATATCTGCCTGGTGTTCACGTAGACGGGTGTTTAAGGAGCGTTTGGTTGAGCCGATGTATAGTAGTTCCGCATTTTGCCTATTGTCACGGAGCGGGATAGAGTAGATTCCGGGGAGTCTGGTGCGATCAGGAGGGTCCTTATCGTTCCTTAGGATGCGGAAAATCGTGGGGCATTTTCTTTACGTCAGTCGAATCCTGTGTTCTTTGGCTATTTTTCTATGTACAGTCTTGAGGTGTGGGTTGTATGTGATGGGGATCCGTGCCGGGTTATCTCGTTGTGGGTCGGTGGCGGTCTCTGCGGTTAGGGTGTGTTTCTGGCATTGGTACTGTTCAATTAAGCGGTGCGTCATGTTCGGGAATCCGTGTTCAGTTGCTATTTTTTTGATGCGGGCTAATTCATTTGTCAGGGCTTGCTTGGTGGATGAGTGTGAAAACGCTCTCTCCACAAGAGCCCTAAATGCAGCTGCCTTGTATGGGAACGGGTCACAGGAATCGGCTGGTATGTACGTGGGGGTGGATGAGGGCTTGTGGTATACAGCTGTTTGGATGGTGGGTCCTACTATCTTTATTGCGATGTCGAGGAAATGGACTTCCTCCGTACTAGCTTGCTCCAGCTCGACCGTTAGGCCGAAAGGGTTGTCGTTAATGGTTCCGACGAAGGATGTCATGTCGGGTATCTCCTTCCATAAGATGAGGATGTCGTCAACGTATTTTTTATAAATGAGGATGCTAGGAAGGAAAGGCGGGAGGGCCTTAGTTTCAAGCTGCCTGACGACCATTTCACAGAGGTCGCCTGAGAGCGGGCTACCCATCAGTACGCCCTTTTTTTGCCGGTAGATAGTGTCGCCGAACTTAAACACGGAGTCGTAACATGCCAGATGGGCCACCTCGAGTACTTGTTGGTGTAGTGCCTGGTCCTGAACAGTATTAAACAAAAAATCTCTGAGGGAGCAGAAGGCTGGGGGTAGTTCTATTGAGGGGTACATAGATTTGAAGTCCAGGACTGTCATAAACTGTGGTGGGGAGGGTAGGTCCTGCAGGAGGCGGATGAGGTCGGTCGGTTTATTTTCGTTGTAAGGGTAGTTTTCCAGATGGGGAGTCAGAAGGTTGTGTATGGCTTTTTCTAACTTTCTCGTGGGCGCTCTCACCTTGTCCACAATCGGGCGTAACTGTTGGCCTGTCTTATGCGTCTTAGACGCATAAGACAGGCCAACAGTTACGCCCGATTGTGTAGTAGACGTCAGGCGAATCGACCACTATGTCACATAGTGCCAGGCGTTTAGCTAATTTAGAGTCAGCCAGACGTCTAACTTTAGCCTGTAGTCTGTCGATTATATCGTCTTTCTCTTTCTTGCACATTGTATTATCGATGTATTCTCTTAAGCTCTGTTGGTATGAATTGCGTTTCATGAGGACCAGTGTTCTGGACTTATCTGCTCTGGTGAGAATTACTCCATTCTTTTGCATCCATCTAGTAGTACAACTCAGTTTGTCCCTGAGCTCTATAATTTCTTGCTGTTCCTTAGCTTTCATGATGTTTATCGAGGATATCCATCTGTAATATTCCTTCTGCGTGTCTGGGAGGCTTTTTATAAGGTATTCCATATCCGGAATGAGGTCTCTGGTTCTATTCTTGGGCAGTGGGGGTGCGAAGGTTGGGCCATATCTAAGTACGTCTATAACGAAGTTAGGTGGTTGGATGCTGTCCCAAAGGATAAACGGGAATGTGGGGCGTTAGTTAGCCTTAGGTACCTGAAATCGTAGTATCCAATCCATCATCCTGTGGTAGCGTTCCCATAGTTCAGCAGATAATCATTCGTAGACCGGGACTAACCTAGCGTTCTCACTGGCCAATACTTCTGGGTGTGTGTGGAATAAGGAGTTTTCGGTCTCTATTAAGTCTTTTAATTTTGCGAAGATCTGCTTCCTGGATGATCGGATGGCTCTATTAAGACACATGATCCTGACTTTTTTAAGGAGAGGTTCATTGCCTGGTGGGAGGCGTATCCGGAAAATTATCATCGGTAGAAGTCCGTTTTTCTTACACTCCATAAGGAACCGTAATTTGGCTCTAGATTTAACCAGGGCTATCAGCTTCTTGTGATATAAATTAGCCGGCATAGCTAAGTACTTAAATGCAGGAACTATTCTATTCTCAGCACCAGGATGAAAATAATGTCACACTATCAGAACCTGTGACCAGTGCTCTATGCGTATACGTTAAATATCGCTTGACAAACGTTTTCGA